TCGGGGACATGGGTGACACGACGCCGGTGGAGCCGCCCACGCCGGAGGGCTCCCCCATCCTCAAGAGGAAGCTGGGGGTGAGAGTGCGGCGGAGGGGCCGGGGCGCTTTGGGGCTGGGAGAGCTTGGGGTTAGGAGAGACATGAGGGGGAGGGAGACCCTCAGAGACAGGGATGCGCAGAGAGAGAGACAGACAGACACTCAGACACAGGAATGGGCTCAGGGGTGGAGACCTGGAGAGAGGCTCCCGGGGGAAAAGGTGGTGTTTCTGGGAGAGACATATCTGGGGCCACAGAGAGCGAGAGACCCCAAGACGGCATTTGAGGGGAAACAGGACCAAAAACTAAAAACAACCGAGGTGGGGTCAGGGCCACTGGGAAAGGCGCTGGGAGATACAGACGGTTGTGGGGAATAAGTCGCCCGCGTGACCAGGACCCCCAGCGTCCTCAGGCCCTTGGTGCTATGAGTACCCCATGAGGTAGGCTCCTCAAACGGATGGGAAACGTGGGGAGAAGAGCCCCGTTTGGAGTCAGCCTGAGCCTGCACCATGCTTGGGCAAGGTGCTCCACCTCTCTGAGCCTCAGTCTCCCTTCTGTAAAGTGAGAGTCATAATCCCTCTTCCTTCCAGTGGGGGGGATTGTAAAACTTAGGTGGCCCCAGGGAACTGAGCAGAAGGGGCACAGAGGTGAGCAGCGGGTCAGCTCAGAGAGGCACTCGGGTGGGGGCTCGGCTCTGACGCTTGCCCTGCCACCAGGTGGATGGAGAGGAAGAGGAGCTGCCTCCAGAGCCAGAGCCAGAACCTGAGCCCGAGCCCGAGAAAGCCGAGTGAGTGGCCTTGGGGCCCAAAGGGCACAGCCTCTATCGTTGCCTCCCTCCTGGACTGCGAGTCTCCTGAGGTCAGGGCCCGAGCCAGGAGGCTGTCCTGGTCACCCAGTGTCCTCAGCATCATCTAGCCCAGGCCCAAAGGAGGGGCTCTGTGAAAGGGAGAAGAGAAATGAGTGTTCCTCTCTTACCCCCAAGCCTTTGGGGGTACAGGACTCTGCCCAGAACACCTCCCCCTATGCTTCACCTCAGTCTTCCTCATCTTCCCCATTTTGGCTCAAGCCTACCCTGACATACACACACCCCCCCCTAAGTTGAAGAGGTGTCTCCTCTGGGCTCCCACAATGCTTTGAGCATCCTCACGCCAGCCCTGACCACACTGGGTTGCCAGTGCCTGGTGACAGATCTGCACTCCACTGGACTGGAGCCCATGAGGACAGGGCCTGAGGCTGTCTCATCACTACATTCCCAGTACCATCTACACCTGGGCCAGGAATGGGGGTGGGCCCCCAGGGCACGGCTTTGAATGAATGAATGGACAAATTGCTGGGGCATCTCCTCATTCTGTTCTGCCCTGCAGTGCTGAGAATGGGGAGAAGGAAGAAGTCCCCGAGCTCCCACCAGAACCCCCCAAGAAGACAGCACCTCCTCCACCCCAGCCAAAGAAGGAGACCAGAGGTGGGGGCCTGGAATTCTGGGGAGAACTGGAAGTGCAGAGGGTCAAGTTCCTGGTGAGGACCCAGCAAGGGCATGCTGAAACTCCCTCTTCACACCACCTCTCCCCATCCTGTTCTTGAGCGAGAGCCAGGCTGGGAAGAGGCAGAGATGGCCCCAGACGGAGCCAGGACCTGGGCACAGGGCAGCATTTTGAGGTCCCCCACTTGGCTCTTCCCTATTTCAACCTCCACACCTTTGCTCATCTGAGGCTACCTGCTTGGGCATCCCACTCCCATGCTGGAGCTAAATCCTCTGTCTGGAGCTAAACCCCTCTAAGGCCACAGCTCTGTTCCTCTTGCCATGGCCTGTTTCTTGGCTGTCAGCCTTCGGGTTGGAGCCACCCCACCAGCCCCAGCTACTCCTATTGGGGGGACCAATAGGAGAATTCATCTCATCCAGGAAGGAAGACGGGAGGGCATTTGGGAGAGGAGAGCCCAGGGCTCCATCTCCTGTCTCCTCTCCCAGGGCCAGCCGGACATGAGGGGCTAAGGGAAAGATGCTGGACAGAAGGTAGTTCCGTGAGGGTTTCTGGGGAAATGAAGATGGAGAGAAAGGTGGAGAGGACAAAACGGGAAAGATGGAAGCGGGTGTGCTCTGTCTGAGGTAAAGCAGACAGGGTAACCTCACACAGGTAACCTCTGCAGCAGAGCAGAGGGGTTGGGAAACTGGACTCTGGAGCTTGACTGCCTGGTTTCAAACCCCAGGTCTGTCACTTCTTGGCTATGTGACCTTGAGCAAGGCATCTTGTCTCCCTGAGCCTCAGTTTCCTCATCTATAAAGTGGGCATACCAGCAGTAACCACTTCACAGAGTGGAGTGAGAAACAAGTTCATGCAAATAAAGCTCTTAGCCCAGGTCTTGATATACAGTAGGTACTCAATAAGTAGGAGGTTGTGGGACCAAATATTGAGGACCCAGGTGCTTGTATTATGGGAAGAGGGTGGCCTGCGAGCTCTCTTTCTCTTTCTCTCCTCATCATAGAACTACCTCTCCCGGAACTTCTACACCCTACGATTCCTTGCCCTCTTCTTGGCGTTTGCAATCAACTTCATCTTGCTGTTTTATAAGGTAGTGGTCATGAGGGGCCAGGAGGATCTGGGCTGTGGGGCGGGAGGCTCAGCCCCTAACAAGTTCACAGGGCCCCTGCAGTTCACCAGGGACAAGGTGTTGAGCCCGGGATTCCCAGAAGGGTTCAGGCTGGACACCTAGATCTTGGGACCCCACTGGGGTTGAGTGTGGGTGTGTGGGTTCATCTGGACAGATGCCTGAGTGCCTGTAGGAGTTAGAACAGGGAGCCAGTTCTGGGTTCCATGCTCAGCTCTACACTTGTCTGCCCTATGTCCCTGGGCGCAGGCCTTCGCCTCTGCAACACTCATTGATTCAGTTAAACTTCTTGGTTTTCACATAAGCTAAAGAGAAATTTGTAGGGAGGAGGAAATGGGAAACTCATGGAATGGAAGGAAAGGGTTAAGAACCAGGCCTCCTGAAGGACAAAGGGATCTTTGGGGTCCTGTCAGGGATCTAGGTAACAGGACAGAGAAGTGTCTAGCAGAGTGATCAGAGCATGGCTCTGTGAGATTGAATCCTGGCTCCATCACTCACTGGCTGCATGACTGAGAACAGTACCTGGCATACAGAAACAGCTGTGTAAATGTCAGCTACTACTGATTTTAGTATTAGTGTAAATATTAGCAGTCAGTCTCTTTAAGGCTCCACTACTAAGATGATCGACTCTGCGTTCAGTTCTCCTGTCACTCAGCTCAGTAGTGAGATTCCCAGGACAGAGTTTGATTCGCTCGCTAGGGTTCTGGGCCCACCCCTTGATCTTGACTGACAGTCCTTCCAAGACTATATCGAACCGGGGCCCAGTACAACTCAGAAATGGAGGCCGTTAATTTCTTTAGTGGGTTCTGCTATTGGCTGACCAGGTGCTAGTTCACCGGGGTCACCCCGCCCCCATGACTGACCTCTGTTCCCCTTCAGGTCTCAGACTCCCCACCAGGGGAGGATGACTTGGAGGGCTCAGCAGCTGGGGACCTGGCAGGCACAGGGTCTGGCGGCGGCTCTGGCTGGGGCTCAGGGGCCGGTGAAGAAGCTGAGGATGACGAAGATGAGAACATGGTATACTACTTCCTGGAGGAGAGCACGGGCTACATGGAGCCTGCCTTGCGCTGCTTGAGCCTGCTGCATACACTGGTGGCCTTTCTCTGCATCATTGGCTACAACTGCCTCAAGGTGGGCCATGACCATGTTTCCGAGCAAGGGCTTGCATGTTGAGGGTAAGGGGACTGGTTGAGAGAGGCCCTGGGGCAGGGGCTGGGGATCTCACACAGTGGTTGGGACAGAGGGGCCCCTGATGTTGGGGTAAGGGCTGGGGGATGGGTACAGGATTGGGGTCTTTAGCAAGAATATTCAAACTGGGAACTGATGCGGGTCATAGCTGGGGATCCAGGTCCTATGACTATGTTCATTTCTGGATCAGGAGGCAGATTTTGTTATGTGGAGTATTTTCTGCATGTTGGTCAGTTGGTGAATTAATATCTCTGGGGTCTTTGGGGTCTCAGATATAACATGGGTTCTAATGGGGATGTGGATTCTGACATCAACTATGCCTGAGGTTTGTGATCCCCCATAAGCAGTGTTATGAGAGTTTCAATTTGGATTCCATAAGCGCTGACCATTTTAGCAAATCTTGATATTTTACAATTAGATGAACAGAGTTCTTTAGCTTAGAACTTTCCCATATGCTGTTCCCTCTGCCTGGAATGCTTTGCCCCACTTCCACCTCCTTTCACCTACCTCTGTTTTATTCATCTTTAGGATCTGAGTTCAGACCTCCCTCCCTTGGGAAGCCCAGGCTGCATCAGGCACTACTTCTGGGCTCTCCTGCTTTTCTCCCATCCTAGCCCTGACCCCTCTGCCCCTGCTTCCCCATCCCTAACCTGATCACTGGGAAGGCTCCTCTCATGTGGGGGCTCACAGGCTCCTTCAAGATATCCTGGCACCTGCTGAGGCTGTGGTCTCCTGAGGCGCCTGACGCCAGCCCGTTTGCCTCCCTGCACAATCTAGGTGCCCCTGGTGATCTTTAAGCGGGAGAAGGAGCTGGCCCGGAAGCTGGAATTTGATGGCCTCTACATCACCGAGCAGCCTGAGGACGACGATGTGAAGGGGCAGTGGGACCGTCTGGTGCTTAACACGCCGTGAGTGCCCAGCCCCCAGCCTAGTGGGCGAGAGCAGAGCTGGGTTTCCACTCCAGTCCTGGCCTCCTCCAAAGACCAGGGTTTTGGTCAGGGCCAGCCCTGACTCATTCCCCCGAGCCTTGGGCTTCCTCTCTGTAATGCAGACACATTTCGTGTGCACTAAAGTACCTGCAGGGGTGTTGGACAGTTGGACACTCCTGGGCCCTGGCCTTGGAGATTCTGGTTTAGAAAGTCTGGAGTGAAGCCCAGGAACTTGCATTTTAAACCCTGCCCCCATGTGGGATTCTCACCCAGGCGCTGTGAGTGGGAAATACAAAATCATTTGTTTTTTAAACTGAGCCCAGAGAGGGAATGAGAGTGTGTGAGAGCAATGTGTGGGACTGTGGGTAAGCGCACGATGAGCCTGATTATCCTGTTGTGTCAGAGAGCAAGGACGTCCTCGCTGAAAAATGGCACCATGCCAGCTAGGAGGGGCTCCCCATGAACAAATCAGGGACAACTTGAGCATTGAGAATAGGGAGTACCATGAATTAAAACACATCAAATAGGCCTAAATCCATGGATTCATGATTATCTCCACTCCACCCCATCCCCTTGCAAAAACAAAAACAAAAAAACATTGGTTACCTTTGCAGGGTGCTAGGGCATCAACTTATCAGTCAGAAAACTGGTCAGTAAAAGGCCAGAATCATCAAGTAACATTACATAAAACTGTGTGAGAAGGCGCACCCCTCCCTCCAGAGCTGGAGCAGGACCAGGCGACTGGCTGGGAGTCCTCCGCACTTGAGTGCAGGTCTGGGTCTTTTTGTACATCTGGGCTCTGGATGCAAGCCCCCTGCCTCACCTGGGCTCCACCAAAAGACAGCAGTGGGGGTAATGGTTGGCCTGAGGCAAACTTCACTAGGCCTAGGTCTTCAGAGCTGGACCCCAGGTGAGCGTGTGGGGTCCCCTGTAAGAAAAACATTGGTATTTCAAACCACCCTGGCCTGGCTTGTGGTTCCTATTCCCTCCTGCTCTGACATCTTGTGGTCTATCTCTCTTGACAGGTCCTTCCCCAGCAACTACTGGGACAAGTTTGTCAAGCGGAAGGTGAGAGGGCATGGATGGGGAGGTGGCAGGGCCTCCTGGGCTGGTTCCCTTGCTGCCACCAGGCCATCCCAGCCCTATCAACGACTTGCTCTGTGTGCAACCTCAGTTTGTCCATCTGGGAATGGGCATACTAATCACCCCTCCCTCTCTGTAATAAGATGATGCAGGTAATGAGCATGGCATAGTGCCTGGCACAGAGTGAGTACTCCATAAATATTAGCTTTGAGGGAGGAAGTGAGGCATACTCTTATAAGCACACAGACTCAGGAGCCAGATCGCCTGCTTTTCTACTCTAAGCTGTGTCAACCATTCTGTGCCTGTTTCCTTCATATTCAAAGTGAGGTGATAATAGGGCCAACTCCATGGGGTTGTTGTAAAGATTATATGACCTACTACGTGAGCAGTATTTGGCATAAAGGAAAACACTAGATAAGTGTTGGCCGTTACCATCATTTATTCACTCAACAAATGTTCATTGAGTCCTACTATATGCCAAGAACATTCTAGAGACCTGGAATCCAGCAGTAAACACAACAGTAATTCTGATACTCAAATTGGAAAGACATTTGATGAACATGTTTATAGCATTCAAGTGGTGGTAAGTGCTCTAGAAGAAAAAAGGCAGTGAAGAGGTGTGTGTTGGCCAAGAAAGGTTGCTCTTTCATGTAGGGTGGTCAGGAAAGGACATGCTAATTCATAAGGAAGTGAGGGAGTGAGCCAGGTAGAAATCTGGGGGAAGAATCCTAGGAAGCGGCAACAGCCAGTGCAAAGGCCCTGAGGCAGGAGTGTTCCTGGTGTATTTGAGGAACTGAGAAGAGGTGGGTATCTGCAGCAGAGTGAGTGAGGAGGTGAGTGGAGGAGATAAGTTTATAGATGATAAGTGACCCAATTATATATGATTCCTTGCTTACCTACCTAATAGTAAGAAATTATCCCAATTAATTTGACTAATGATTCAGCTGGACCTTTATTGTTATTGGGCTCTCTCCCTGAGGATCCAAAGAAAGCCCTGGCCCTTCTCCCTAGGAAAATGTACCCCCAATTTCTCACACAAAGTTCTTAGTGTCCCCAGAATCCCCTGTGCTGGTCATGGCCCTCCCCCACTCCAACTGTGTCTGCATGACCCAACCTCTTCTGTGCAGGTCCTAGACAAGCACGGGGACATCTATGGGCGAGAGCGGATCGCCGAACTGCTGGGCATGGATCTGGCCTCATTGGAGATTACAGTCCACCATGAGCGCAAGCCTGAACCACCGCCCGGGCTGCTTACCTGGTGAGCTGGGTCAACCCCATGCAGGCCTGGGGCAGGCAGGGAGTTGGCCAGGGTTCTGACCCTCAGGCATCTGGCCATCCCTCTTCTCCCCACCCTTCACAGGCTTATGTCCATCGACATCAAGTACCAGATCTGGAAGTTCGGGGTCATCTTCACAGACAATGTGAGGAGGGGTCAGTAGGGAGGGAGGGACCTGCTGGAAAATGGCCCTAGTAGCATTGTGGGCCCCTAGGCATCCCTGACTAGGGACTGACTCCTGACCCCTGACCCTGTGTGCCCACAGTCTTTCCTGTACCTGGGCTGGTACATGGTGATGTCCCTCCTGGGACACTACAACAACTTCTTCTTTGCTGCCCACCTCCTGGACATTGCCATGGGAGTCAAGACGCTGCGCACCATCCTCTCCTCTGTCACCCACAATGGGAAACAGGTGTGGAGGGGACCTGATGGAGGGGTGTGAGCCTGGCAGGGATCAGCTTAGCAGTCTGAGTAGGGGTGGAGGGGCGAGGGGCAAGGCTGGGCCACCCAAGTAAAGGAAAGGGAAGGCGGGGCAGGGGGGAGGGGCAAGCCAATCGCGCACTGACTGCCCCTGCCTGTCCCCAGCTGGTGATGACTGTAGGCCTCCTAGCGGTGGTGGTTTACCTGTACACGGTGGTGGCCTTCAACTTCTTCCGCAAGTTCTACAACAAGAGCGAGGATGAAGACGAGCCTGACATGAAGTGCGATGACATGATGACAGTAAGCCCCTCCCCCTAACGCTCTTGGGCAAGTGACTTAACCATCCCTGACCCTTAGTTTTCCCTGCTGTAGAGGGGGTTAATCATAAATAGTACCTGCCTCGTAGACTTACTGTGAGCTGACGCTTGTGAGGTACTTTGAACGGTACTGGGCACATAATCAGTGCTCAGTCAATGTCAGCCCCTGGTATAGCATTATCTGAGCCTTTAAAGCTATTCTTTTTGGAAAAGCACTCAGGCAAAGTGTCCCTGCCACTCTGTCCCAAGCCATGTGATCTTGGGCAGGCTACTCAACCTTGCCATGCTCTGGGGTCCCCGCCTGTCAAATAGATGTACAGTAACAGTATCTACAGCCTAGGGTTGCTTTTAGGCCTCAGTGATGCTCCCTGACCATCTTAGACTTAAATATCTGAGAACAGTGCCTGGAATGTATGTGTTAAGGATTGTAAATGTTAGCTACCGCCATCGTTTTCCATAATTGGAAGTTTCACGGAAGTACCAGCATGCCACACGTTTCTATTTTGTCTTCTATTATAATAATGGTGGTCATGACCTAAACTGAGTTTAACCTACTGGAGGCATGGGGCACAGTTGAAAGGATCATCTCAGGCTTTTATCTGAGAAAATGTCCTATAATCTTGGCACCATGCTCTCAGGACACAGTCCAGCTCCTCAGCCTGACATCTGAGACCCCACCAAGCCTGGTCTTGCCACTCATAGCCTTGTTTCCACCAGTCACTGGCCTTAGCTTTTCCCCAAGACATCTGGGTTTTCTCACTTCCTGGGGACACAGAAATAGCAAATGTGAATCTCTCCCAAGATCCAGATAGGTGGTGTCCCCCACTCTGCATAGAACTTTCTCGTAGCTCCCTAATGCCACGTGGATTAAACTAAATCCCCTTGCCATGGCTTACAAAGCCAGGGAAAAGCTCAAGTTGCTGAGTCTAACCACAGTCTTTCTTGCTTTTTGCTCTCTGGCTGCCTGATCCTCTTTCACTTCCCCTGAGATTATGTGTTTCCTCCTAACCCAAGCCCTTTGCTTCTGACATTCTCTCTGCCTCCCACCCTGGCCCTACATGCACACACACCCCTTCACTTGACCCCTGTTTTTTCCACTTAAATGCTGCCTCCTACAGGAAACCCTCTCTGACCATTGGTTGGGCCTCATCTCTCTCCCTGCTCTTGCTCACAGGATCTCTATTTTCTAACCTCACTGAACCTCTTTCAGTTCCTCACGGGAGCAAAATATATTCTTTCCTCCCCAGTGGTGACGTAGCACATGTGGTTTTCTCTGCCTGGAACACTGTCTCCCACCTAACACCTGCTTCATGTTCCAACTCACACATGTCCCCTCTTCCAGGAAGCTGCGCCTGCTCACCCTGGCTCTCAAGTTTCAAAGCTTCCTGTGCTTCCCCATCTTACCCTAATCACACTGTGCCTCCCTCATCCCAGCCCTGACCCCTCTTCCTGTGTTCTCCCCTTCATAGCCCTGATCATTTCTGGTGCCATGTTTGTGAGCCCTGTGAGGGCAGAGCCCAGGGCCATCTCTGTCATTGCTGTGTCTCCTGCCCCACTAGCCCAGGGCCCCACAGAGACTCGATGAATGCCGAGTTATCGAACGTGTGACCAGTATGCTTCTCACCCTGTCCCTGCAGTGTTACTTGTTTCACATGTACGTGGGTGTCCGAGCTGGTGGGGGCATCGGGGATGAGATTGAGGACCCAGCAGGCGATGAATATGAGCTGTACAGAGTGGTCTTCGACATCACCTTCTTCTTCTTCGTCATCGTCATCCTGCTGGCCATCATCCAGGGTCAGTGCTGCTGGGGTTGTGGGAGTGGGCTCAGGGCCTGCAGGCAGGCCAGCTCCTTTGAGTGCAGGCCCAGAATCCAGCCTGATTGGATCCATATCCTGGCTCTGCCCCTCCCTACTGTAAGATTTTGGGCAAGTCACCTCTCTGGGCGTCAGTTTCTCCATTTGTAAAGTGGACATATTAATGACATGACCCTCATATATATAGTTGTGAGAATGAAGTCAGTTCATAGGTGGTAAGTGTCTGGCTCATAGTAAGTGCTCAATAAACACTAGGGATTCGTATTTTTAGGAAGCAGGATGAAATTAGGGAGAGGAGGGTGGGTGGCTCAGATGTGAGGCACTGACTTGCGCCCTGCCTTCCAGGTCTGATCATCGATGCTTTCGGCGAGCTCCGGGACCAGCAAGAACAAGTGAAGGAAGATATGGAGGTAGGTCATGTCTGGGGCCGACCCAGAGGGATTACGGGACCCTGGAGAGTCGAATGGGCCGCCTTCTGATGTTTCTCACCATCCACAGACCAAGTGCTTCATCTGTGGCATCGGCAGCGATTACTTCGATACCACACCCCACGGGTTCGAGACCCACACTCTAGAGGAGCACAATCTGGCCAATTACATGTGAGCATGGGCCTGCTGGCCAACCAGGAGGGTGGGGGCGTGGCCACCGACAGCTAGAGGGGGGATACTGGGCCTTGGCCAGTTAGGGAAGTAGGTGTGGTGTCCGTGGGGGAGGGTTCCAAGCCAGGTAATCAGGAAAAAGTAAGGATGGGCCTGACCTGTCTACCGCGCTCCCTACCCAGGTTTTTCCTGATGTACCTGATAAACAAAGACGAGACAGAACACACGGGTCAGGTAAGGGGGTGTTACTGGGAGGACAGTGGGCAGGGACGTGGAGAGTTTTAATATAAGGACAAACAGCAGATGGCGGTAAGAAGCTCATAGCCCTATCAAGCGTTTGAAGATGTGGCCAACCTACTTTCCCCCATCCCCCAACCCCCAACCCTAGGAGTCTTATGTGTGGAAGATGTACCAAGAGAGATGCTGGGACTTCTTCCCGGCTGGCGATTGTTTCCGCAAGCAGTACGAGGACCAGCTTAACTGAGTCCCGCCCCCACCTGGCCCTTCACCTCAAGTGCCTTATTCTCACAGCAAGCCTCTTAGCCCCGACCCCTCCCCCCAAGGCCCTGGGGGAGGGTAACCATGTGCTGGAGAAATAAAATCTGTGCTACACCCCAACATCCTTGTGTTGGCTTGTTGACCTTTTGGTGGGAAGGACATCTAGGAAATCTGTCCTCCCACCAACCTCAGAGAAACAAGATGACAGCAGAGGCTAAAGTCATGTTTATTGGGGTAAAGGGGCATATCCTGACCACTACTGTGTGTCAGCTGGGAAGGGTGGA